ACAGACATCCATTCATGTGTTGCTCATGTCCTATGCAAGACATCAGAGTTACTTTAAAAACAGAATTCAAATTATATTTAATCATTGAAAGTGAAACAAAAGCCGAGTGGGTAAGACATTAACTGCAGCTTTCCAGTCATCTGATGCAGATTGTTTATTGGAACAAAAAAGGCGTTGACACGTTAGTTTGATGGATTTCATGACATGACAACGCTTGTTCAGTGTGTTTATTGTAAATCAGCAGACAGAATTTGGATGGCTTAGTGACCAGGTATACAGTGGGAAACAATGACTGCCTTCATATCAGGCCTATCACGGAAAACATCCGGAGACTTCATACCCAAGCAGATGAACAGACGCCAACTGGTTTCTTACCTTAGCCTATAGGTAAATATCAGTATCCAAGTCTATAGTGTCTATAAGTGTTCGTCAGCTTCATACCCAAACCCACATGTAATCAGAGAAACAAAACCATATTCTAGTCAACTTTGCAGTGGTGACACTAAGATTGGGACACACATGTACATATGTATTATGTGTGATTTTATCTCAGTCTTAAATAAGACAAGGTCCAAGAGTAACTCAAGGTAGAGGACTACTGAATTAATCACCAATCATTCTTGCATAAAGTTATATGGCAAGGGATTTTATGAAAGAAAATATTCCAGTTTTTGTTTTTTTATATAATTCATCAAATATAAGGCCTGAGAGATACTCAAGGTAGAGAGTTACTATTAAAATGGTAATGATGAACGAGGTGTGTGACCTGAATGAAAGAGAAGGTAGGAAATAAAGATTACAAAGATAAGGAGGATAGATAATAATGGACATTTGACTTAAAGAGATTATGATTGTATTGTTCAGAGTAGGATGTGTGGTGGTGCAATGGAAAGTGGATCAGAATGACAAATCACAGTGCAGAGTTCAACTTCCAGTTGAGTCCGATACATTCTTTTATGTGCAAATACCCCTGGAAAAGGTTACACTCCATCTTGTCCCCTCACCCCCATCTATGGGTTGAAGAGTAGGATGTTGATGGATAGATTTATTTTCTACAGCTTATCAACACTTTTCAGGTTATTTAAATCTAGGAAATATTTTTAAATTGTAAGAATTTTTTTTTTTTTTTTTTTGAGATAATAAGTCCTAGTAGTTAACCTATAGTTGGGGGAGTAGAAGTGGATTCCTACCATTCCCAAAGGTATTTGTGTATAATATAATGAACCCAATGGGAATTGGAACTTAGTTCTCCGACCTCAAATTCTGAGCCATTACCCATTACGCTACCCACACATCCAATCAGTCCTTTGTATTACCAAGTGGTCAGACATCCAGATACTGATCAGGTTCAACATTGCTTAATTTTGATCATACCGGAACTGGTTTTGTTTGTTTGATTTATGGCATATCAACACCTCAATGGGTTATTTAATGCTGACAAGATTTTTATTGCTGGTAATTTTTTTTTTCCTCTTCAAAAATTTATTGCTGGTAATAATTTTTTTTCTTACAAAGTATTGCTGGAATTAAAACCTATTTTTACACTTTCATAGAATTTTGAACCCAATTTGAGGGTTTAACTATATGCCCATATCGCCTACTACTGCTTTGAAACAAGGTTAAACTTCTGTTTTCCAATGCCATTTTGAATTCTTAAAAATTAAATCCACATTAACTTTTTTTGCAATTTTTTGTAAACAAAAGTGGCCACGTCAATATCCAACAAGGCTTTTATTCAGAGGTTTTTCTTTGTTTCGGTCTCTGATGAGGATTTTGAAGGCTTTACTTGAATGGTTATAGATAGTCAAATGGTCAGAGATGATAACCATGCTAGTGACATGAAAGGAAAGTGATGATGTCCACTAGCGGCTACTATCATGGATATGCCCAACTAATTTTATGGAAGCTACTTGTGACCATCGATATATTTGATGGTCTTTCTGAAGGTGAACGTTATTCATCAACGAGACATAAATATGAGTCAGAAGAAAGAAAGTACAAACTAATGCTAGCGTCTTCCCATATGTAAACACAAGGAAACACGGTCACTTATTTTGACAAAATGAAAGCCTTCTTAGCAATTATGCTTCTTATTCCACCCCCCCTAAATTCCACAAGGAGTAATGAAAGTTTATAACGTTATCACAGGAGGGGGGGGGGCTTAGCAGCTCCAGCCCCAGATACAACAGCAGATATCGGAAAAACAGGTACCCCATAAATTTACAAGAAAAACTTTCAGCACTTGAGATCCAACAAAAAAAAAAAAGTTCTAACAGACAAAAAGTTCAAGACTAGCAAACACCTACATTTTGCATAAGTATGAACCATTAACAGATCAGTGTATAGTAAGGTAATAGAGTTAATATGCACTCTTGAATGTATATTCTATATTTTTAAATGTTAAATTTGTACTTTAATCTCTAAAAAACTATGTCTGTGATACTTTTGGTAACTAGAATTCGATTAAACAGAATCCTAGAAGAGGTTTGTATTGTTTGTCACTTTGGTTAATACAATGTTAGTAATGTCAATGCTTGGATATTTTTAAAGGTATAGATCTGTTGTCTAACCAAAAGTGACAGTTCCCTGTTATGACTTGCTGAATCAGTAACTCACCTGTAGATGATTTGACCCGTTCCGATCGACATATACTGGCTGGTAGAGATTCTGGAAAAAAGTAAGTGAAAATGAAGTTATATTGAATATTAACAAAGTTGGGCATCATTACATTCAAAATCAAATGTAATTACATTTTTTTCTCACTCTTTGTAAATATTGACCTATTGTTGTTTTGTATTATCTGGGGAATATAATTATTCATTATACGGGATACAATTTACATTTTTGAAAGGTTTAATAGATGAGGCATGCTGAAAAATTATCATGGTAGCATATTTCTATTTACAGTAAATGGTGGCCTACATTTTCATTGTCTAAAGATTCAGGTTCAAACTCTGGTGTCAGCAGTGACACTTTTCATTCATATATGACATTAGTCAAACATGTGAATTTATTATATACAACATAGTAATGATTAAAAAAAAAAAAAAACCTTAATGAGTGGATGAAATGATTACTGGAAACTGGTTTGGTTTGTTTTACGGCATATCAATCTCAATCGGTTATTTTTTTTCCAGATAATATTTTTGTTTTGTCAAAAATCTATTTTTCCTCAAAAAGGTATAGCTGGTAATATTATTTTAAAAAAAGAACCTATTGCCGGTAATGTTTTCTTTTTCAAAAAAAGAATCTATTGCCGGTAATGTTTTCTTTTTCAAAAATTTATTTCTGGTAATTTTTTTTAACAAAGTATTTATGGTATTAAAACTTACTTTTACACTTTCATAATGCTTTTTACCTCAGTTTCAGGATTAACTATTTGCCCATAGCTGAGACCCTAACAGGTGCTACCACCCCGGGTCAGGGTTGACCTGGGAACACCAGCAATTAAGAGTTGGTTACATGCTCCTCAAAACCTCTTGATCAGAGGCCTTGCTGTTGGACGTAGTTTATTGTCACACCCAGGACGGGATTACTGGAGAGTCCATCCACGAGTTTAGGATGCTGAAGATAACATCAATCAGCTTAGTGACAATTTTTTTTTGTATTAATCCTATATACACACTTGTGCAAATTAACTGAAACAAAAGGAATAATTCTGTTATTTACTGTTTTTTCTGTATTTTTCCAATGATATATGACCCAGTGAACATGTTAGTACTTGGTATGTCCATTCCATGAAGTCCTTCCTTGCAGACTGACCACAGATTCTCGACTGGATTTAAATCAGGAGGGATTCTGGGCCAGTCTAAGGTAATTTGATTTGCTCACTGGTAAAGCTTGCCCATTGGTTTGTGCAGCATTACAATTTTCGTACACTTACTTGGAGTAATGTCCATTGCAGACAAAGGCCATAGGACAACTAATCGATAGTCAAGACAATAGTGTGTGTGCATGATAAAAATCTGATGCAATCACGGATGACAATATTTTTCAAGGCCAAACAAATTTCATCATACACCCCGAAAATAGATTCATATTACTGTACACCACTTCAAATGATCCAAGCTGAAGAAAAAATAAAAATTGATTACAGCCTATCACTTCAGTGGGTCTAAAACTGACTGTATGGTGAAAGAAAGGAAAGGAAAGCATTTGTTTCAATTAATTTGCACAAGGGTGTATATAAATATTGAAATCGTCACTCAAGTGACAATGTTTCATGCTTAAGTGCAATCCTCAGGACATATAGTCTATCTCAGATATTGAGCACCTTAGCCCATAAATATAGCATAATGTAAAACTGTATTTTATCATATATATATATATATATATATATATATATATATATGACAATAGCAAATAGGAAACTTGTTAATTAAATATTATTATCATTTGTGGTGTTCTAAATTCGAGGAGAGATGTCGCATCCCTTCAAAGTTTCAAGAAATCAACAGATTTCAAGCTTAAGTGAAAAA